CACCCAAGAGTCTCAGAACTTTCTGCATCTTCCTGTATAATATCTTACGTATAATGCCTTGGTTTGCGAGCATAATTTGTCCTGGAAACAAACTACTCGTATTGCAAGACATCGCTCGTTTACCATGTTAAAGTGTATTAGAAGTGTTTGCTCATCTTGTGGAACACTCGCAAACCAAGTTACTTGCAATCTAAGGTTTACCTGTATACATGTGTATATATGGTTGGGTTCTCTAAGTCTTACTCTTTCTGATTAGAATCCTTACTTTCCCCGTAAGAGACTTAGTGAGACCCTGAATTCTATGATGTAGTGATTTATCACCCTATGAATGTTTTTTCCATCTTAGCCTGGCAGCTGTAAGAGATTCACAATATCTTTTTGATATACATAGGAAGTCCCTGAATTTCCCTGTTAGCCTGAAATCAAGAATTTTGAGGTTGAGCATGTAATTGTTTGTTTCCACCCCTTTTTCAGGTTTTCCACGTCTCTTTACTGTTTCTGTGAGCTGTTCGATATCTTTCCAATAAACTCTTTTTCCAACCAGAGTTAGTTTCTTGTGCTTGCTTGCAACTAAGGGCCCAGACAGTTAAAGACATTGGTATTAGAGATGGATGCAGACAACAGAATCTCAGGAACCTATGAGAATAATGAATGGCTTAGGTGGTTGGAGGTAACTCAGCTCCCATTCACTTTCAAAATGCTCATGGCCTTCAAATTTCAAAGGCAGTTACAGCGGATTCCCCAAACCCTCAGTGAGAACTTCATTTTATTGAACACAGGTAATAATGTAGTCATTTGGAAAATTAATGAAACCTGAGTCTGTCTGGATTCTTGGTGTGAACAAGAAAAACCAACTCTGGCTGGAAAAGGAACGTATGAGAAGGATAGGAAGGGCTCACAGAAACAGTTGAATCTTGACCGTCCTGAGAATGTTGTGGGCAGGAACCAAGGCAAATCTGGAGAGGCAAGAACAGGAAGTCCAGCCATCGTCGTTTTTGTTTTTTTTTTTTCTTTTTAGCTGAGCCATCCTGCTACCTGTTGGCAGCTCAGCGGCTGCTCAGCTCAGGCTGGACTCGAACCGCTGTTGCTCAGAGCTCAAACTCTTGAGCGAGCTCTTAGCCATCGTCTTTTTATCAGGATAGTTTGACCGTGATGCCAACGGTTGTTAGCACTGTCCCTATAGGACAGCACTGCCACTGGACCCTGCTCCCACATGGCACTCCTGTCACTAGAAACCACTCTAACCGCCATGAGTGAATCAGAAGCACCTCTATCTTGGTGTTATTCTCTTCACATTCAGCCTTGAGTTGAGGCAGAGTCTTAGCCATATACAGCGTGCTGGTTACTGGTTTTCATGGAGTGAAAGGGTTCTTGTGTAAAGAGAGTCCAGACGTTATGTAGGAGGCTGGCTCACTTCTCCAGTGGGAATTGCAGTCCTTTGGCCCACTTACATGCAATGCGGAAGTCATTCTTTCCAATTTGTGTGCCTTTCCTTTCTTTTTCTTGCTTCATGGCACCCCACTCGAACCTCCAATATCACATTTAATAGTACTGGTGAGAGTGAGCACCCTGTCTTCTCCCTCATCCGGAGGGAAGCATTTAGTCTTTCACCATTAAGTTTAGTGTCACCTGTAGGATTTTCATAGAGGCTGTTCATCAAGTTGAAGATCTCCCTGTTCATTTGCTGAGAGTTTTGATCATGAATGGATGTTGAATTTTGTCAAATGCTTTTTCTGCATCCATTGAAAGGATTTTTTGTGTTGTTCACTGTGTGCTAATATAATGAATTATATTGATTTTTAAAAAATGGTTATTGTTTCAACCAATTCTGTTGGGATGATTTGGGGTTTTTTTAAAGATTTTTATTGGGGAATTGGGGGATGGGAACAGCGCTGGGGAATTGGGGAAGAGGAACAGACAAGTTGCTGTCATTTTGTTCTTCAGTCTAGTTGTGGAGGAC